GAGAACCCTCGCCTAAATCTATCCATTTCTATATGTAAAACATGCTATTTAATCCTTATTTTACTTCAATAATGCCAGTTTTTAACCTTTTCACAATGACTTTCTTGCTCAAATTTTTCTGCACCTTAATCTTATATTCTCCAATATTTCTGAAAATGAACCCTAATTTTGGAGCCAACAGATAAAATTTGAGTTAATTTTCAGTTTTTATTCAAAAAATTTGGCTACTTTTGGCATTTTTGAAATTTGTTTTAGCTGTCTATACAGAGAGTTTACTTTTGTGGCTAATACTCATATGTACCCTTATTATCACTATTTACTATTTTATTTCTGGTGTTTACTTCAAATTAATCATATTTCTGTGATTTGTTTCAATTTTTATATTAAGTATGTTTTTTGTGTATTTCTCGATGCCAAAGGATAATTTTATACCTGCCAAGTTACTTGCATTATGTTGGAGTGTCACTCTATCCTGCATTAAATTATATTTAAGTGAGAACGATATTTGCAATCAGTTGTGAATTGTGCCACCATCCTTACTGAACAGAGAATGCATCTATGTTACTTATGTTATTTAATTTGAGAACAGTCAACATTTTTTGATATCTCTAAATATAATATGAATACCATATTCACTCTGTAAGTATGCAGAAACAAGAATATAAAACCTTAACTTTTTCTCTCAATATTTTATATTTATATTTATATTTATATGTCTTGTAGGTAGACAAAATGGCATTTGACTGTGCACATGAACTAAGGAAACACAGTGTTGCAGCTGTTTCATTGTACCCTGGAGCAGTGAGAACTGAGCTTATTAATGATATGTTAAGCAAAGCACCACCTAAGGGTGACACAGCAATTGATAATGTAAGGTTGTTTTTCTTAGACTTTGCATTCCAAACCACAAATATATATATATATGCTCATATACAAATACTTGTGAACAATGATTAACGACCTAATTAGTTTCGGGTTGAAAGTTGAGCATACTGATTACCTAATTTGCATAATTATCATATTTCATTGAAATTTGGTACATACTTTATGGTAATCCACAAACGTAATTAGTAATTTGTAGCTCCCGCCAATCAATTTTAGGTTCATTTTATTAATAATCCCTAGTTTCCTAGTACTTGGAAACAGATTACCAGTTCCTATATTTTTGTATCCTATTGTTTGTTTCCATATTCCATCTATGAAGACTGATCAATCCTTATACTTCAGTCATAAATTAATTGCTTGGTCAAATCATTGGCTTTACACTGTCCTTGGCAATACACACCCCTGCAATACAACTTAGATGGTGCGTGGAAGACAGCTGTGTCATGTGACTATTTGAAAGTTTTAAAATACCCTAGATCACTAGTTCAGTGTTTTTCTATTTACAGCAACTGAAGATATTTGAAAATGGAGAAAGTCCTGAATTTTCTGGTAGAGGTGTTGTACACCTTTTGAGTGGTGAGTAGTCCAGTCTGATTGTAAGTAGAGGTTTTGTTAACTATCATTGTTAATTATACCTGATTACAATTTACATCCAGATTTAGTAGGATTGAAAACCAATCAAAACATGTGTTATATAACAATTTCTATTAAGATTGAATGCAATTTAAATAATTATTTGGTCAGATATGGGACTATTTATGCTGGCGACTGGAGGGTGACTAGAGTCTCTAGTTATTACATTATATTAGATGTGAATCTATCATTCCTTGCATGTTCTAATAGCATTTCAAATTTATGATGTTTTAACTACACGAGCCTTGACCATTTGGTTTTTGGCATGCAGCTTCTGTAAATGGGAATTTATTCGCAGGTTATTGATTATTGTGTGTTTGGGTGTAGGTTTTTCATTGAGATAGTGGGAAGGGTGTTACAATATTTTTGAATAAAGATTTCTCTGTCTGTTATCTGATTCATAACCTTCATTTACCATATAATGTTTGAAAATCTGGATATAGAGGAACACATACTATGTAGTCAAACGACCAACTATATGCCAAACATTGTGAAAATGATTAAACCTGCAATTTCTTAAAACTATTATTTCCCGCTGAAATTTACAAGATAAACTGAATGCATGTAAATGTACGTGTTCAACTACCGTACTATAAGAATTGAAGTGTTTCCCAGCTCACTTGACCCCTTTGATAGTCCATTATTTTGTTACAAAGCATTGTTTTTCAGAACCTGCATATTTAAATCTTTCATTGTGATGTATATTTCAAACTTGAGCACTATCTTAATATGCAGTATTTGATGGGGTCCAGTGAGATAGTGGCATTCAGTATTCAAAGTTAAGAAACACAGAAAAAGTGAAGTGACTAATAAACAAATAAACAAGAATGATTTGTTCTAATAATCTCATAACCAAATGCTTATAATTTTACAATTTATTGATCAGAGCTACTGCTGAATCTCAAATCCCATACCAAAAGCTGCATATTTGGAGAAAATCTTGCGCATGTTGCCAGTGATATATTAGCATACATTGTTATGTAAATATACAAATCAAAAAATAATGCATAGTCAAAAACTGTTCAACAGCATTCACCGACTGGTTATAAATAAGCTAAGTGATGTGCTAAGACACAATGAACATTACATACATTTTCTAATTAATAAGCTTCTCCAAGCACAAACATTATGCAAAACACAACAGTGCTAGTTTGTTCATTATTTAATTACCTGTATTGATTCAGCAAATTTTGAAGAAATGTTTCATGTGTTAGAAAGAACTAGAAAAAAACTATTTATTTTTGCTTCCCACTACCTTAAATGACTGCTTCTCAGTGCTTTGCAATAATATTTGCTGGTCATGTACATTTACTTGCAGAGCTCTTTTAGACATGATGTCTTATAATTGTCAAGCTTTTCACATTTTCTCCATCTTAAGAACACATAAAATGTCAGTGACCTCATCTTTCGTAAAAGTCGTCATTCATATATGACAAAATCTTTTGAATATTCGTCTTCAAAAATCTTAATGACATTAGTCAACTTCTCTCCATGAAAGACATAAGGCATTGGGACTCTTGAAAAAAAACAGTGACAAATCAACTAAGGTCATTGTAGCAGAGCCACAGTGTCACTTTTGTGGAATGTGCTGATGATCTTGTAGAACCTGGCAGTAATCCATTAATTTAAATTGTACAATATGTTAATTTTGTTTTTATAATATTTCAGACCCAAACATTATGAAGAAATCTGGTCGTATTTTATTCATGGGAGACGTGGCGTCTGAGTATGGCTTTACAGACATAGATGGAAAAGTACCTTTCCACAGCAGACGTGTAAAAGACGTGTTGCAGCTTAGTGGACATACATGGCTATCAATGTTTATACCAAAGTTTGTCACTGTCCCACGGTGGATGATGGCTGTATTTTTGAGCAAACTGTGAAAAGATGACAAAACATAACATTTATTTTGCAATCAAGTGAGCATACAATAATTGTAAGCTTCTTGATTTTCCTTAAAATGTGAAAAAAAAGTAAACCTGTAGGAGAAATATGCAAAATAGAAAAATAATGTGTACCCAAATGATATCCTTATTCATAGACACTAATGCATATTTTCAAAAACGAAAAACAATCGACAATTCACGTAAAATGACAAATAATCATTTAGCACAAACAAAGTACATCACAGAACATAGTAAAATCATAAGTAAAAAATATATGGATCTTGCAATTATATGGCAAACATTAATCAGGTGTTTCGAAAAAAGAGTGAGCACATATATTGATGCCACCGAATATTGTCTGTGTAACAGTATCATTGTATTTAACTAGAAGTTCTGCTCAAACAATCCTTAATGTTATGAGGCAATTCTCTACAACAGACCTTTCAATACATTTTGATAATAATAAATTCTTCTTATTAATAAATTCATTTCAATATAATCACTATATTTAGGCTTGTTGGGTGGAAGATTATCATAAATATTTCTTATTGTGAAGGAGTTCGCTTAGTAAATATACTTCGAAATTTAGCTTTATATGAATAAATAAATAAATAAAACACCAAGGGGGCATAATTTGTTCTAGAGGAGCTTTGCATCAGTCATGCTTGTAAAGTAGATAGACTTGTAACCCACTATTATATCATGTATTTTTAACGATAGGACTACTAGGGGGGTATTGTTATTATTATAATGCTTGATGGATATGTTTTTTATTTTATTTTATCATGGAATATAGTGATATACAAGGTGAAAAAGTCGTCAAAAGTGTTTATTGATGTCCTACATAAAAAGTTTTCACAATTGTAGTTATCCCACTTGTCAAAATGATGGCAACATAAGCATTTTCAAGATCAAGATAAATCAAGCATTTTATGGTTTAGGAAGCACTCCAGTTCTCAACTCCAGTTATTGTACTTTTACTAAAGCTGCACAGTTTCAGCAATAGTGAGTATTGAGTATCTTTGAGTATTGACCTATGTCATGTATGGATACATATCTCAATTGTTTCCATGTGACAATATAACCCACTGCACTTTTTGTCTTCACCTAGTCTGACCAAGTGCCTAGCTTTCAGCATTTCAGCATATAGGAGATATTTAATGGTTGATTAGAATATGACAAAAAGAGTATAATCATGTACTTGTTGGTTTTACACTTCTTCCTGGTGGTGTTACTACGACTAAAATAAGTTCTAGTCCAAATAATCAACCATGTCTTGCATTCACACATCTGTATTACTTAAAAATGGCATAGAAAGCTGAAATAAAGTTGTCCCCATCCCTTTAATAGCATATCCATACCTCGCATATCACCCAAGATGAGTTTGCATATTCGATTAGTAAAATATCATTTGTATGTAATTACCATATAACATAAAATATAGATATACATCACCTACGGTATTTGTAAAGCTCAGGTACTGGATGCTTGTATTATGTCCGAGATGAATGTATCGGTGTTTATTTGAAAGTGGCACAGAAGCAACTTTTTATAGTGTTGTGTGCCACCTGCGTTTAATCCCAACAGAAATTCCTCTTACCAGTGAGCTTGTACATTTGACCAGCAATTGACAAGTCTATTTAGTTAATTTCATTTTTATGATAGAGCAAGAATAATTCCCACATACCTATGCTTGTAGGTCTGTCAATATAACACAATCAGTATGCAAAAAGTAAAATGGTTAAAGAAAGTTGCATGGATCTCGCAATGTATAGTATTTGGCAACTGATTTTGCCCAACATGTAACGCCTGTTATAATCAGGAAGTCTACGTCAACAACGTAGTCACCAATAATTTTAGAGTCAACTTTGTGTAAGCAAGGAATGAATTTTGAAAGGGGCCCAAGGGGTATGCAACAAAGCTAGACGTATTGTTTGGGAAGCCGTTACTCACTAAAACGAAGAACCGCGAAGGACCTAACCGAAGGACTTAAACGGGTGTAATGACTATAAAACCTGATACAAATTACGTTTTTATACGTTGCATTTGTTCTCAAATTATGCAGTAGCGATTAAATTTACCAAAATACCTTGATAAATACATTACATGAAAAATATTAAAGCGAAGGACCACAATTATATTATAAATATGAGCGAAGGACCTCGGTTTTTATTGTAAATATGAGCGAAGGACCGTGATTACGTGACAAATATGAGCGAAGGACCATGATTACGTGACAAATATGAACGAATGACCACGTTTATATTATAAATATGAGCGAAGGACCATGATTACGTGATAAATATTAGCGAAGGACCATGAGTAGTGATAAATATGAGCGAAGGACCATGAGTACGTTATAAATATGAACGAAGGACCACGTTTTTTATTAAAAATATGAGCGAAGGGCCACGATTATATTATAAATAAGAGCGAAGGACCATGATTACGTGATAAAAATGAGCGAAGGACCACGTTTATATTATAAATATGAGCGAAGGACCACGTTTATATTATAAATATGAGCGAAGGACCATGATTACGTGATAAATATGAGCGAAGTACCACGTTTATATTATAAATATGAGCGAAGGACCTCCCCACGTTTTTATTATAAATAAGAGCGAAGGACCACGATTACGTGATAAATATGAGCGATGGACCACGTTTATATTATAAATATGAGCAAAGGACCACGTTCATCTTATAAATATGAGCGAAGGACCACGTTTATATTATACATATGAGCGAAGGACCCACGATTATATTATAAATATGAGCGAAGGACCACGTTTATATTATAAATATGAGCGAAGGACCACGTTCATATTATACATATGAGCGAAGGACCACGTTTATGTTATAAATATGAGCAAAGGACCAAGTTTATATCATAAATATGAGCGAAGGACAACGTTTATATTTAAATATGAGCGAAGGACCACGTTCATATTATAAATATGAGCGAGGACCACAATCACGTGATAAATATGAGCGAAGGACCACGTTGATATTATAAATATGAGCGAGAACCACAATTACGTGATAAATATGAGCGAAGGACCACGCTGATTTTATAAATATGAGCGAAGGACCACGTTTAAAAGAACGTAGATTCACTCAATAAACTTAAATAACAACAATCACTTCAATGTATGCTATTCAATATCACGTATTGTCGGCTCCGCTCCGCTGTTAGCAATGCACATTTCAATTAAAGAACTTAATATTTCATTAGAAAATGAACAATATGTATTATATCAAAGTAATCGGACTTTGGTTTTCAACAAGAATTAAAAAATATCACTTTTTACCAAAAATATTCATCAAAATTTGAGAATTTAAGATATCGTCACGAAATGAATTAATCTGAGAGAGGTATGCATGTAGTACCTATATATATAATATCAAAGCAATCAGACCTGCGGTTTTCAACAAGTCAAAAATATCACTTTTACCAAAAA